GATCTCACCAGAGTTTTTCTCTACTAACACCTTTCTTGTTCCCTAAAATAGACCAGCCTGGAAGTGTGGATGAAGAGGGGCTGATGCTATTAGAACAAGAGATTTTCCAAGCCAAGACCCAGATCAACAGTCGACTGCGGCCCTTGATGTCTGAGCTGGAGGAGAGGGCACGTCAACAGAGGAACCACCTACATCTACTGGAGACAAGCATAGATGGGATTCTGGCTGATGTGAAGAACCTGGAGAACATTCGAGACAACCTGCCTCCAGGATGCTACAACACCCAGGCCCTTGAGCAACAGTGAAACTGCCATGGATCTTTGTCCACTGAGGTTCTTGGGACACAGAGCTCAGGGATCAGGAGCCATCTCATGTGCATGGGTTGGGCTGAGGATACTTGAACATGTTTAATGGGTTTGTTCAGGTCCATTGGCCCCAATTCCATCCCTGAGACTATGGGTAGATGGATGTCTTCCTGTACCAACATGGTACTGTTTGCTTCCTGGTGCTGGCAATGAGGCAGATAGCATCTGGTATGAGACTGATCAAGGACCAACCGCACCAACAAATGCTGACCTCAGAACAGTCATAAACTGAGACCTGGAATATACAAAGTGCTGCTGCCCATGTCAGGACAGGAGATCTAACCACACTGAGGCCAGTAAAGTACTCTTGCTCCACCCACTGCAAGTTTGTGTCTCGAGATTTCCTCCACTGCCCACGCAGTAGGTTGTGCCCTCTACTTTCAAGCTGAGTGCAGTGAGCAGTGATGGGCATAGAACCTGGAAATCTGGCCTGTTTGGAGCAACAGTGCCTGCTGCCACCCTCTCACCTTCGTACTCTCGACCTGAGTTAATATCCTTTCTCCTAATAATGCCAGAGTAACTTAGAGACTGTGTTTTTATGAAAGCATTTCTTACCAGCCAAGCAATCACAGGGAAAGTGTTTCCTTTGAGCTTCAAAGTGATAAAAGAAAATGTGCCTTGGGCATTAAAGGAAGAGGAATTGTCTAAAAGATATATTAATCTTAATCCAACTCTCCTTTGCAAACACTAAAACTCATATATATCTGTATACTATATTTTATATTTTCTCCCAATTCAGGGATAATCTATCCTTCTAACATATATTTATTGAGTTCCTACTATGTGCCAGGGGTGAGTGGAACAGTGCCGACATTATCTACCCTCGTGAAGTTGATTGACTAGTGAGAAAGATAAACATTTAAAATAATAAATGGAAATTCTTAAGCCTTGTTCATCTCAAGTGATATTTATTGCAGTCACCCATGGGTTTGGAACCTTTCTCGGTAGAATGTGTTGCAAGACAGCCCCCATGGGGTTACTTGAGTTAGGGCAAAGCTGAAATTGTTTTGAGTTATATACACTTTTCTGCATTCCAGCCATCCCTCCACCCCTTCCCACCACAGACTATTGCAACAGGCAGTTGCATCATGGCAATACCATGGGAATTGCTGAAGGAACCAGAGGCACTGCACCTCAGCTTGGAAGACTTCTGTACCATTTCATGTCTGCAATTCCTTGTCTTTTCACAGATGTGTGTTAAATAAAGGGACAGTAGGTGCTGGGGATAAGTTTCTGATTTTATTAAACTCTTAATCTGGAGTGGAAGCGCACCAGAAAAAAATGGGTGTAAACATGCCATCCTGATACTGATGGCCCTAGAATTAGAGTCTTCGATTCCTGAGAGCCCAACTTTGCCCTTTCCAACTGTGAGAGTGTTTTATAAAATTTAGATGATGCTGTCTCCTAAGCATGAAGAATTATTTCTCAAAAACCAAAACTGGGTGGAGGCTATAATTAATATTCTTGTCTTTTTCATCTACCATAAAATAAAGGTAAAATCTGTAGTTTGTGGTATATATGTAACACCTTTCAATAAATTACAATTCAGTAAGTTAAAGTCTGAATTGGCTTTTACCCAAGGGACTGACAAAAGAGTTCTGTTTTTGTCCACAGTGACTCCTAAGTTCTGAGAGTTCTGACAACTAAGTCCTTTGTGGAAATAGTCTGATAATTCTATCTTGTCATGCTTAGTTCCACAGCCTACAAACTTCCTGCAATAATTTAAGTCCTGTCATTTACAATATTTACTTCTAAGGCTGCCTTGGGAGGAAGAGAAAGCAAAAGAACAGAAATGACATGCATGGGAAGTCTTTGTAAGCCAGGACGGGGCAATCTTATGCTCTATTTTTCCAAGTCCATATTATAATTTTCAGGGTTTTCTTGAAAGGAAGCCAGTTTTCAGTGACAATTCTACACTATGAAAGGGGTGTACATACTGTTGGGTTAGCTATGCTTCTAAAATCTCAATTCCCCACTGGATGGATGGTTAAGAAAGTTATGAGAATTAGGGTGGGGATGTAGTTCAGTTGATGGAATTCCTGCCTAGCATGGAAGGTGCTCAGGACCCAGTCCCCAGTACCATATAAACCAAACAGGCTGTGGTCACACAGCTGAAATCCCAGGACTCTGAAGATGCAGGCAAAGGACCAATAGTTATCATCCTTGGCTACATAGTGAATCTGAGGCTAGCCTGGAATACATGAGACCATGTCTTAAAAAAAAAAAGTTCTAAGGATGTCTTTCTTGGCAAATGGCACAGTAGAGATGGGTAGTGAGAAGTGACTGTTGGAACCTGGAAAACTAGCCCTAAGAAGAAGAAAAGCTATGGCTGGGAAGTAGCCTTCCCTAAGCCTAGAGCTAGTCTTTATCTAGCCCTGTCAATAGAAAGGATGTTTTGTTTTCTGATTCCTTGTCATTATTCATGAAGACCTTCTGATGAGTCTCCTCTGGGAGTTTCCTGGTAACTGTGCTCTTGGTAGATGATTATGCACAACCCTATCTACCGTGGCTCATAGCAGATGGAAGAGGAGGAGACACAAAGTTGCCTACAGGCGCTGACTCCTTAGCAGATGGAGAGCTGATGTCCTCCCAGGATGTGGTTTCTTTCTAGGACTTGAAGGAGGCCAGAGAAAAGGGTCAAAAGATACTCAGCCCTGTCCACTGTTTGGAACAAATCTCAAGGACCACGACAGTGTTTATCATGTCTTCTTTGAATGTTTTGCATGGTCATGGGAATGTTATGGGTTTGTACTATGTTTTAATTTTCCCACTTGGAAAATAGGAGAATTTCTCTCTACTTTCTTTATACTATTGACCACATAGAACTTCTTAGGAAATTCTGAAATATAAAGCTTCATGTTGGGTCATAATAAAAGAAATGCATATGATTGTTACTTTTAATTTTATATATATATATATATATATGTGTGTGTTTATATTGGTATAAATTGGCAAATTAAATCAGTGTTTATATTTAATTTTAAACACACTCATCGTTACGCACTCAGGGTACGGGAGGTGCTGTGGTTAGCTTTGTGAACAAAACAGCAAATATAAACACAAGTAACCAATTTACAGGGTGTATCAAGCTTCCGTAAACTATGCCATGAAACCCCACATGGACACACACAAAGTGGGCTATTCTCTGTTAAGAAGGAAGAGGAAGAAGAGAAAAAGGAAGAGGTTGGGGAGGAGAAAGTGGAAGAGGAGGAGATCTAAGAATCCTACAATCAAAATGATCACAGAACAGAACAAAATTAACCTGGCAAGTATCTAACAATTCACTAGGAACAGGGGAGTGTTACTTTGCCTTGTGAGTCACAGTTGATGGTTGGGCAACAATAACCAAGGACCGCTCGGATCAGCCAAGCTAGACATGTCATAATTAGAAAGGAACCGAGAGGGCCGATTATCGCAGCTGGTGCTGCAGCTAAGAAGTCATTCATTCAGCTTTGCTTGTTTACACTGCCAAAGGAAGTCATGAGCTTGACCATTTCTTAGTGGAGATTGTTCATGTCAAAAATCAAGCAAGTTTCTAATTTTCACTCTCTCTCTCTCTCTCTCTCTCTCTCTCTCTCTCTCTCTCACTCACTCTCTCTCTCTGTCCATCTCTTCATAATTTTATCAAAGAGACAAAATTGCCAGTCTGACTTGTTAGCACACCACCTATGGAGAGAGTCAGGAAGACCAGGAACACAGGGTTATCCTCAGCAACAAGCAAGTTGGAAGCCAATCTGGACCACATAAAACTTTGTCTTGAAATTTTTCAATCAAGTGACTGAAATTAACCAAGAGTGGACTGTGTGGGCTGGCCAGGATCTTGGGTTTAGGTTTTTTTCTTCATGTGTGTATGTGGAGGCTAGTTCGTGTGTACCATGTGAATGCAGTGCCCATGGAGGCAGAGTAAGGCACTGGATAGCAGGGACTGAAGTTCCAGCTATGAACCACCGTGCAGGTGTGGGGACTGAACCCTGGTCCTCTTGGAGAGCAGTAGCACTCTTAACTGATGAGCCATCCATCTCTCGGCTCTGCAAGGGTTACTTTTTTTAAACTGAGAAAACAGGCACAATTTACAAATTAGCCTTTTCATAGTCTTGAGTGTGGAGGTGATAATAATGTGGTGGTGGTGGTGGTGGTGGTGGTGGTGGTGGTGGTGGTGGTGGTGGTGGTGGTGTGTGTGTGTGAGAGAGAGAGACAGAGAGACAGAGAGAGAGACAGAGAGAGGAGAGAGAGAGACAGACAGACAGAGACAGATAGACATAGAGAGATGGAGGAAGGGAGGGAGCGAGGAGGGAAGAGACAATGCCCTACTATGCAGAATAGACTGACTTTTGCTTTGTTGGGGAAGGCTTCTGTGTGCCCGTGGACCTGTGGTGATCAGAGAACAACTCGCTAGAGTTGGCTTTCTCCTTCAATCATGAGGATTCCAGGGATTGAACTCAGGTTGTCTGGGTGACAGTAAGCACCTTTACCCACCGACCCCTCTGGTTTACATCACAAGTGTTACATCAGCTAGACGAGGTGGAACATCACTTACTCTAAGCATATTTTTACAACTATTATCTCCCACCAAGTAACAGGAGGAAGAATTAGTGAAGAATTAGGAAGGTTCTGGACAAAGACACAAGACACTAGTAGCATTGTCTGTTTATTAACATAATTGAAACATTTTGCTGATAAAACTCTTGCCCATGACTAGTCTAGCAACAAAACTCTACTCAAAAATATTTCACTGTGAAATGATATTGCAACTTGAATGGAGTTTTTACTAATGAGTTGATTTCCATAAAGTAAACCTCACTCTTAAATCAACAGATGATATGATTTAAAAACAAAACAACAACAAAAAATCTTCCTCCTCCCCATTCCAACCCCAGGAGGATCAAGCTGAGGGCCCTGGGACTCTACTGAAGGTGGTGAGGAAGGGCGGCAACTCGTTTCTAACTAACTGGACCAGACTACTAGGACACTTGCAAATGCATAACACACAGAAACCACATAAGTAGAATTTCCCAGTCAGTTCACAATGTGTGGGTCAGATCAGCATGGCAGACCACACCCTCATTACCACAGGCTATCTCTAAGGTGTCTTAAGTACCTTAGCTACAGAATCAGCCTGTCTCCATCCTTCTGCCCCTCCTGCTGTAACCTTGGGAGAGATCCTGAGCTTTTCATATGCTGTTTTTGCATTGCTGTTTTCGTTTGGAGACAAGGTCTTATGTGCATGGAGGCTGGGCTTGAACTCCTGGTCTTCCAGCCTCCACCTCTCAGTACTGGGATCACAGGTATGTACCACCACACCTGGCATTGCATTTCTTTTCTAATAGGAACAAAAACTAAATGGGCATGCTTCTCTTAGTCCCCTAAAAGTGTGTGAGAATACCGGAGTGAGGGAGTGGACTTGGGCTCTCTATAATCCTCCGGCTATGGATGCAGTTTGATTATCAAGTTTTACTTCCTATGTATTTAAATGGCAAGTTCATGAGTTCTTTTGGAGATTCTGAAACGTGAGACTAGAACGTGTGGCCAAGCCAAAAATAGGAAGAACGGTGTCTCAGAAAACCAGCTGTGATTTCAGGCACTTCAGTAGGAGACTTCCTTTGCTGGTCAATGTACATTCAAAGAATGAATGCCAGGGACCCAGAGGCCACCTGGGGTTGGGAGTGTGTGATGGACTAGCAACCCGGGTCCCCGGAGCCCCACTCCTGGAGGAGAGAGCTGTTAGTTTCCCTCCTGCCCGTCTATCTGCCTCTTGTTTAAAAATGGCAAGGGCGTTGTTTACTGGCAGCAGTAAATGATCAGACCACTCCATCCTGTGCCGTCACCAGCATCTCTGGGCCATGCTAGTAGTGGGCCAGCCTTCACAGGAAACAGTGAGTCCCCAAAGACACACGAGGCACCACTTAAAATGATCTTGCCTGGGGCAAGTCACAGTCACACTGTGCTATTCTGCTCGGGTGTGGGGGGAACTCTCTACCTTTGCTCCAACAAAGGAAGAAAGAGACAGGGAAGAGAACGGACAATTCCACCTGGAAAGGACTCACGTCTGTTGAAGGAAAACTGTTTTCACACACCTCATCAAGATACGGTCTGCCCACCTGCTTCCCAGAATCCACTTCTGCACCCATTCTCTTAGCTCACCTTCCTTCCCTCCCTGCTCCTAGCTGCCTGCTGCCCAAGGGTGCTGGGCTAGCCTGGGTCCTCATCTCATGAGGCTTGACCGGAGTCCAGGGGAGGAACACAGTGAACCAAAGGAATGGAAGAAAAGTCGTCTTTCTCGGACCTGCTCATGTGGACCCTTGTCAGCTCCAGAGCTTTCAAGACACCATGTTTCCCCAGGCAACCCGGCTCCGGCTTTGTGTAGGGAAACAGCATTCTCTCCTCATGCTTCCCAGGATGGGCTGAGTGGTCTTGGACCAGACACTGACTCCCCAAGGGTTCTGCTCCCTTGATTTCAAAGAACCTGGGAGCAAATGGGTTCTGCGGGTTTTCTCTATTTTTTTTCTGTGACTTTTAGCCAAATATTGGACCTCTAGATTATAGAAATAATCTCCTCCCTGGAGATCGTTTCTACAACTCGGGCTGCTCTGCGCGGTTCTGTGGACTCCACTTTTTTCTCTTGGAGTCAGCTGAGGGGGCTAGAGTGAAATACGAGATAAAGATCATTACCCCTGTTCAGTCCCACCTGGGTCATGTTCATACTAGAAATTAAAAGTAGCCTCACACTCAGGAGCCATTCCCCATGAACAACTAGAAACTCAGGAGCCAGAGGCTGGATGGGAAACACAAGACACAGAAATAATTTCCTACTAGCTCTCCAGGCAGGGTATGAATGTCCAGACTGTCTTTGGAGGTAGAGAGAAGGGGCGGATAGTGGGGAGAAATGGGGAGATAGTTCTGTTGTGAACCCACTCTAGTCAGGGAGACCTCCTAGGGTATTGGCTGTTGCTGCTGGGCTCTGCAGGAGACTGATGGGGCCAGCTTGTCAACAAGGGTGATCGCTTCTCAAGAAAGAAAGGGCTTTGGGCACAGCTGGGCAACCTTAGCTGGAGTGGGTGGGGATCATGAATTCTCCTCAGGGTAACAAATCGCATTCTCCCAGGATGGGCAATAAACAATCCCAATTAGCAAAGACTCTCTATAGTCAAGTGGACTCTTGGTGTGTTTTTAAAAGAAACGAATGGATTTTCAGCACTTGGTCTCACCTGTGATTCCTCTCACTGGCAGGAATACATCTTACCACGGCTTCTAGGGCTTTTGCTCTCTGGAAATGCCTGTCTGGCAGGGAACCCACACAATGCCACCAGTCAGACACAGGGCATTAGGACCGTGGTCATCTGAAACTAGCTACTCAAATTCTGAGAAGTCCTACTTTTCCCAGACATGTGTGCCAGCTTTCAGAACCTGAGAGTCTTATTCCTGACCAAAGGAGTCTGAGGTTACTGCTAGTGTGTGTGTGTGTGTGTGTGTGTGTGTGTGTGTGTGTGTGTATCTGAGTGCGTGCGTGCATGTGTGTTTGTGTGTGTGCATGTGTGTGTTTGTGTCTGTGTGCATGAGTTTGTGTGTGTGTTGAAGAAGCAGAAGAGGCTCTGTCTTCTTTCCTGGGTGTGGCCCTCAAGCACTCAGAGTGCTGAGACAGGCTGTAGTGTCCTGTCAGAAGGGAAGTAAACTGCAGGAGAGCGTCAAGACTACAAACATAAAAACCACACACACTGATTCCATCCAAGTTCTACAAGAAGTGGGCAAAGGGAAAGAAATAAAGAAAAATAGCCCTTTGTGGTAAAGGGCATGCTGGGAAGGCGAGAGCCTGAGCCATATCCCCAGAGCATGCTGGGAGGATGGCACCAGAGTCGCCTCTCTAGAGCATGCTGGGAGACAGACACCGGTACATCTCCAAGGGCTGCACCTCCCCCAACTCCCACCCTGTTCCCTTACCCACCCCCAACCCGGAGACTAGAGGAAAGTTTATCCAAAGATGACTGTGGAATGGGAAATGCCACGGTTCTTCGCACGCCCCCCACACTGTGGGGTTAAGTCAGCCAGTGGGGAGAACAGTCAAGATGAAGACAAAGAAACAGAAAGGCAGAGAGGAAATGGCGTCTGACAGTGGCTGGAGGGGCCAGTGTGTTGGCAGAGGACACAGGGAGAGTAGAGCGGAGAGCTGGATGTCGCTAGCCCGAGGCGTTGATGTACAGCTGACTCTTGAGAATGTAGTCAATGACTGGCTGGGACAGGTAATCCACAACATGGCCATCCCCATGCTGCAGGGCCAGCCTGTGGGAGAAGAAACAGAAATCAGGCGGATGGCCATGCCCAAGGAACTGTACAGTCCTGCCTTTCTGGGAAGGGTCTAAAGGTGCCCCCAGCACCCTGCCAGCAGCCTTTGCCTGAGCTGAGTGAACAGTATTGGAAAGATCCCCATCCCCACACAGACTCCCTCCACCACCAATGACACATTCACCCTGTCCTGCCACTGAGTAGCTCACAGACCTTGGGAAAGTTGTTTATTTTATGTTTACTTACTTACTGCGCAGCGCATGCATGCAGCTGCGTGTGTGTGTGTGTGTGTGTGTGTGTGTGTGTGTGTGTTTCTGTCTCTGTGTATACATGTGCCATAGCATATATGTGGAGACCAGAGGGCAATATGCAGAACTCAGTTCTGCCCATTACCAGGTGGGTCCTGGGGATTGAACTCAGGTTGTCAAACTTGGGTTAGGCCCCCTCCTTCAGCTTTTTCTTCAGTACAATTAAGGTAACATTTAAGTGAGTTACATCCAATTATTTGAAGGATTAAATGAGTCACTATACCAAGCATAGGGTTGACATTTTAGCTTTCCTATGTTTTTCTTTTAATAGACTATTTTGTGTATCCCTAAGAACTCTTAGTTTATCCCTTTGGGTTTCTCTGACACTTGTTTCATGAAAACTAGTCTCCTAGAGGATTCTTTGGCTTGAGCTCGCCTTTCCCTCCTACAGGAGCCCTGAGCCGTGAGCAACAGGTGAAAGATTCCAGGAACAAACTGATTCTTCCTCCACTTTTTTCCTCTCTGCTCATTCCTTGTACAACAGTTTCAGGATGTCACTGAGGCTGGCACGGTGCCTGCCTCTCTGCCTTCAAGGCAAGCCCTGCCTTTACCTTACAAGGAATGACCTGAAGTGTCTCCCGGCACATTGAAGCTTTCGAAAAGAGGTCTCTAAATAACAGTTGCAACTTCATCAGACTCAGTGGAGAAGCTGAGTCTGAGTCCAACCCCAGAAAATCCTGGTCTGGTTGAACCAAACAGAACATAGGAGTTTGTATGGCCATAGAGTAACTTTCTGAGTCTAAGGAGCAGCCATGTTGGACTCGAAGTCCTGCCCCTTCCATTGTGCACTATTTTTGGTTTCTGTCCTAGCCTCCCAGTGGCTGCTGTTGTGATTGTCTTCATTGCTGCCTCCCAAGAGAAGTCCAGTCGACTAACTGAGTCCTTGGTTTATCTGACTTCCCTGAAACATGGGACTCAGATGGCAATGATCTCCATTTGAACTCTTCCCCAGTTGCTGGGCTCCTAACTGCTCCTCAGCCTTCACGGGGGTGCAAGAAAGCTTGCCATGTTCCTGATAGCTGCTTCTTCTTCACTGCTTGACTTGTGAGCTCATATGGATCTGGATTTTTTTTCAATAACTAATTAATTAGCTCATGTGTCTGAGAGAGACAGAGTGTGTGTTCCACAGGGCAAGCATGGGACTCGGAAGACAACTTTTCAGAGCTGGTCCTCTCCTTCCAGAACCGTGACTGTGTCCCGGGGATTGAATTTAGGCAGTTAGGCTTGTCAGCAGGTGCCTTTTTAGCAGGTGAGCCAGCTCATTTAACCTGACGCGTATGCTCACGGCTCTCAGCTCATACTTCCAGACTTCTTTGTCCTATACGTCTCACCATTTCTCAGGACATTTCCACTTGGAATGCATGGAGGAGACTGTTGACAGTCCCTAATATTAATTCATCCCCGTTTTGGTTCTATTTAGACACACAGCTGCTGTGTTTTCCAGCCTCCCTCCATCCATGAGCCAGTGGGTTACTTACAACTCTGGGCTACTGCATTATTTAAAAAAAAGAGTTATTTAGACGTATTTTATGTGTATGTGTGTTTTGCTTACATAAACATCTATGTATCATATGTGTACAGGGACTACAGAGGCCAGAAGAGGGCATTGGAGGCCGTGGAACTGTATTTGTAGATGGTTATAAGCTGTCGGTGTGGGTGCTAAGAATGCAGTCTGGGGCCTCTGGAAGGGCAGCCAGTGCTCTTAACCACTGAGCCGTCTCTCCAGCCCCTATTTATTTATTTTTGAGATAGGCTCTTGCTATGCAGCCCAGGCTAGCAATGAATTTTTTATCCCCTGCCTCCACCTCCTGAGTGTATGAACCCTGCGCCTGAGCAGGTCGCTTTGAAGAGGAGACATCCGCCTCAGGCTTCACCTTGTTCTTTCCCACTGACTGAGAACAATCTAGACAGTAGACAGGTTCCCAACAGTGAAGCTTCAGACTGAAGAGATCAGACTCAATCCCTTTGGACTTCCGTAAGTAAGAACCACACAGCTACCTTTTTTGAAACTCTGAATTTTGAGATCCTTTTAATGGCGGCCTGGCTTATACTTTTACTAATAATGCATGACCTTATCAGCACCCAAAACTAAGAGTCCAATACTAAAAAACTTAATTCCCTCAAGGCAATTAAGGGCAACTAATGTGCTGCTTCCTTACTTAAAAGTAAACAGGGATAAATGCATGAAGTCCGAAGAGGAGACTGAGGGCTGAGCAAGCATCCACTTGAATCTAAGAGTTGTGTGATTGTTTGAATGAGAATGGCTCCCATAGGCTCATATATTTGAATACTTGGTCCCTAATTGGTGGAACTGTTTGGGAAGGACTAGGAGGTGTGGCCTTATTGAAGGAGGTGTGTCACTGGGGGGTGGGCTTTGAGGTCTCTCTGACTTATTCATAGTTTTATCTCAAGATAAGAGTTTTCAGCAACTACTCCAGCACTGTACCTGCCCGCCTGCTGCTCTGTTCCCCACCATGGCGGACTCATTATCTGAAACTTTAAGCCCCAAACAAATGTTTTTTTCCTATTAGTTGCCTTGGTCATGGGTTCTTATCAGAGTAATAGAAAAGTCAACCAAGGCAGGTTGCCTTTGACTGAGGAAAGCTATGAAAAAATGTAAACCAGTTTGACCAATGTGTCCCCGACTTCTGTCAACCATACCTGCTCTTGGTGGAGCTGACTACAGACATGGGATGGTTGATGTCATCCTTCACCACCATGATGTTGTTCTGGAAATAGAGCAGAAAAACAGGTCACTAATCCCTCTCGTGGGCTACTGTAGTGGTTTGAACAGGTATGGCCTCCATAGACTCATGTATTAGACTACTAAGGCAAGTGGCCTTGTTGGAGTAGGTGTGGCTTTGTTGGAGGAACTGTGTCACTGTGGGGCTGGGCTTCGAGGTCTCATATACTCAAGCTATTGTGATATGTAGTCTCCTTCTGTTGCCTGCAGATCATGATGCAAAACTCTCAGCTCTTTCTCCAGCACCACGTCTGCCTGCATATTGTCATGCTTCCCACTAAGATGATACTGGACTAAACCTCTCACCGTAATTCATTCCAATTATTTGTTTTTCTTTATAAAAGTTGCCATAAGCCTGATGATGATGGTACATTCCTTTAATCCCAGCATTCGGGAGGCAGAGGCAGGCAGATCTCTGTGAGTTCAAGGCCAGCCTAATCTACAGAGTGAGTTTCAGGACTACCAGGGCTACACAGTGAAACCCTGTCTTGCAAAACCAAGATGAGTTGCCATGGTCAAGGTGTCTCTTCACAGCAATAGAAGCTCTGAGACAGTTACTTTTGCTCCCTCACTCTTCCAGTCCCCAGAAGTCTCAGAGAAGGGCTGTATCACAGGGATCTACCAGCAGGGCATGGAAGACTCACTTTGTATTTGCGGAGTATTGAGGAGTGATTCATGATTCTGTCTGTGTCAGCCGCATCCCGGGGAACCACCACGATCCCAAAGTCCCCAACAATCACCTCCATCTGAAGATGGGGAGGGAGAGGGAAGGGAGAAGAGAGTGAAATAACTTTGGTGAAATTTGTCACCCCCACCTCCTACCAAGTGACTACAACAGAGTGGAGTGACATTCCGTGGTTTTACTTGGAACTTCAAACATTAGCTTCCAATTTACTTTCTCAGTCCTATTAGTCAGCAACCTACACTACTGTCAGTGTCAGTAGTCTTCATAGAAGGAGTGGGGGACCTCGTCTGGCACAGAAGACGCTTAAGAAATACTTCTAGAAGCCGAGCAGTTGGTGGTGCACAACTTTAACCCCAGCATTTGGGAGGCAGAAGCAGTCAGATCTCTGTGAGTTTGAGACCAGCTTGGTCTACAAGAGCTAGAAATACTTCTAGAATGCATCAACACCCTTTAGCATGTCTGAACAAGACCTTCCTAATCCTCGAAGTTCTTGTTTGAGTTCGCAGTGTTGCAGACTAGCATGAGTATCCAGTAAATACCCTCGCGAGTGAAACTGATTCCATTGTCCAGCATGATTACCTCAGCCCTGAGTGGGACAGCATGAGAGAGAATATTTTGCTCCCTCTGTCACATGGCTCAGTCATATACTGTGGGACTCCAGTGAAACCACAAGCAGAGGCACACTCAGAAGGAATTCCCTGTGCTCAGGTAGTGATGGGAGCGCTGGTTAATTTACAGGGGTCACTTCTGAGATCAGCCTTTGGTGGAAGCCTGATACCTTATAAGAAATAAAATCCTTTCACAAAAAAACTTTTTGGGAATACTGTTGAGAAAGGATCTTGATATGTAGCCGAGGCTAACCTCAAACTCACTATCAACTTGTCTTAGCCTTCCAAATGCTAAGATGATACATTGCCTAGGCTAGCCTCGAACTCACCATCTACTTGTCTTAGCCTTCCAAATGCTGAAATGACAAGTAAGAGACACAACACCAGCTCTTTATTTTCTTTTTTCTAATTATAGATATATAATACAAGCATGGGAAATGCAGAAAACAGTATCAACCACACAATGCCGGTACCCATAGTTAACCCCTCAGCTTATACCAGGGTTTTCCTTTCTATGGACAGCTGTGTTAGATCCACACTCTCAGTAAACTGCAACGTAAGGCATGAGGTTGTAGCTCGGTGGTAGAGTGCTTTCCCAGCATGCACGAGGCCCTGGGTTCGCATTCCACACACTGAAAATAAAAGCTAAAAATCAATTGCTTAAGTAGTAATTACCTGCATTCTCTTTTTCGGCAAAACTTATTCTAACTCTGTGTTGTGTGTAAGCATGCACACGTGAGCGTATTCACACTTGTGTGAGGACGCCCATGGAAGTCAGAAGAGATACCCCTGAGCTGGGGTTGTGGACAGCTGTGAGCTGCCTAATATGAGTGCTAGGAATCAAACTCAGGTCCTCTGTCAAGGCAGTACTCACTCTTAACTACTAAGTCATCTCTCCAGCCCCAACTTGCAGTATTGTCATTTAGCATTAGATTTGGAGGATTCTGTAACATAATTAAGATTATCTTAGGGCCAGCAACATGGGTTAGCAGGTAAAAGCTCTCAAGTCTTCTGACCAGAATTCAGTGCCTGAAACCCACATGGTGGGAGGAACCAACCCTGCAACCCTGAACCTCCATGCCGTGCCCTCGCACACCAAACAGATAAATAAAAATTATGTGGAAACATGGGTTTTTAGCATTTTCTATATTTCATTATAGTCATGTAGTATAGAAAGTTTATAGTAACTTCATAGTTGATGCAACGTAATTTTGATACAAACACGTTGATGAATATCTTTATACATAAATCTTTTATCACCACTCTAATTATTTCCTCAGGATAAGAAGGCAACATAATTGGGTAAAAGGATGTTAACTGGAAGTATTTCAAGCTCTTAAGACATACTACCAAATCACCTCCTAGAAATGTGCTGATATTCATTTTCAAGGAGCTTGGAATTTACAGCATTTGGTAGGTCTGGAGCATGTTTAGATCCTGCCAGTTATGGATCCCAGAGGAGGAAGACATTGCTTGGAAGCAATTGAGCTATTTGAGCAAGATCTGCTTTGGGAGTAAAGGACTCAGAATCTTGTCTCCCCATAATATTTCTAACTAGTTTCACAAAAGCAGAAATGATGAACTGTGGACTGTTGTGGAATATTGTCTTAACTAAGCAAAAATGTGTTACATTTGTTTATGCTGCATTTGTTTAATGATGTAAAGATGTGTGTTTAATTATGGAAAGATGTGTTGCATTTGTTTCACATTGCCTGCCTAAGGCATCTGATTGGTCTAATAAAGAGCTAAATGGCCAATAGGTAAGCAGAGAAAGGATAGGCAGGGCTGCCAGGCAGAGAGAATAAATAGGAGAAATCTAGGCTCGAAAAGAGGAAGACTGGGAGGAGGAAGCTAGAATGAGGGGGGTACTCCTGGGGCAAGAAACCATGCAGCAGACAGAAAGACTGACAGACAGACAGACAGACAGACAGACAGACAGACAGACAGGCAGGCAGACAGACAGACAGGCAGGCAGGCAGGCAGGCAGGCAGGCAGTCATAGAGAAGCAATGAAAATAAGGTGTCCCCAAGTAAGAAAGGAATAAGCCATGAGGCAAAAGGTAGATAAAGAGAAACAGTTAATTTAAGTTAAAAGAGTGAGCCAGAAATGTGCCTAAGCTAGACCAAGCATCAAGACTAATAATATGTCTTTGTGTAATGATTTGGGAGCTGGTTGGTGGCAGAAAGAAAAAGCCTGGTACAGTGGTCCATTCTTTCCTACCAGAAAATTTCATCCTGTCGGAATGCCATTGTAAGCCTGATTCAGTGTGCGTGGTGTGGTGTGGTGTGAGGGATGGTAAGGTATGGGGTGTGTGGTGTGGTGTGCATGTGTGTATGCTGGAGTGCATTTGTGCATGTTTGTGTGTGTGAGTGTGTGTGCACGTGTGCATTGTATGTGTGTGTTTGTGTGTGTGTGTGCATGTATGTATTTCCAGTCACCTTTACTCTGCTTTCCCTATTGCTTATCAACTGCTTAATACAGAATTGCAGCTAGAACGCTGGTATTGTTGAAATAAAGGCCGGCTTTGAGCACTCTAGGTGGAGAGAGCTTCCCCAGTGGGTCACATCATTTTGGCACAGAACAGCATGTTTTATCTAAGTGTGAGTATGAGTAAGCTCGCTTCAAGGCTGTCCTATGGGCCGGACAATGTTCAGGAGAAGCAACACAGGAAGCTGCAGGGAGACGCAGTTCCTCTTGCCATAGCTTTTAGAACATCACTGGGTCCACTATTGAGTGACAGACTCTCACGCTTGTCCATACATTGGAATTGCCTGAGGAGGGACAGTGAGATGGCTCATTGGGCAGAGGCACTTACTGCCGAGTCTGATAATGTGAGTTCAGTTCTTTGGACCCATATGGTAGGATTGAACCAACTCCTGAAAGTTGTCCTCTGACCTCCACACATGAACTGTGGTACACGCATGCGTGTCCACACATACATGCACAAAATAAACAAAATATTACAAATAAATAAATACACTTTTAAAACTGAAAAAAAAAGAATTACCCGAGGAACTTTACAAATCCCAAACATGTACCTCATTACCCAAGATCAGCTAAACTAGAATCTCTCAGAATGGGACCCAGACATTAGTACTATAAGAAAAAAAATTTCTCCAGGTTATTCCAGTGTGCAGCTGAGTTCATGAGTCAGTCATGTGTAGAACTAGAACTGGAAAGTTTGACATGCCAGGGAAGATAAGGGAGCAGTGAGGGGAAGAGAGAAAACAGAATTCACTGAAGTGGGGGCACACAGACCCCCCCAACTGCTCCTGGAGATGGTTTAGGATAATCTCGTGTAAGTAATGGTGGGCCTGCCTCCTACTGCTTGACTCTAAGAGCCAGATAAACGCACATTTGATGGGAGCTCTCTGTATGATGTGCTTGGTAACAAGTGTGAGTGGGGGTTCTAGTTTAAAGTGTGAACAGAATGGCTCTGAGTGGCAGTGGGTACTCAAGAGGGAACTGAGCTCTGGGTGGTATCAGTCCAGCTGCTGCTTTCCACTCTGGACCTAATGATCTGATGCTCAATCAGTAGCTGTGCCAGGGCTTGGTAGGTGGCAGGCAGATGGAGTCACAGATATTTCTCCTCTCTAATAGTGGGTGACAGACTTGTCCCTGGGAGCCACAGATGGGGTGAGGGAGATGATGAGATCTGCAGATTAGCACTGTCTATCTCTGACTTCAGGTCAGACACAAGAGATAATCTCTGCTGCCTGAGGTAGTGGGCCTTGTGTTCATGCCAGAGAGTGTGTGGTTAGACAGAGATGTCGGGTAGCGAACTGTCCACCTCAGGAGAGTCCAGCTGTCCATCCTGCCCCCACCCCTCTGGTTCAGGTTCCCAGCTAGATCCTGTCCCTCCTGGCTCTCCCTCCTCTGTGATGCTCCTTTTTGGCCTCTGCGCTTATTCTCACTCTTCTCTGACCTTGACACGCTAGACTCACTGTCTTGAACCTTACATTCATACCCTTAGTTATTTCATTCCATTTTGAAGCCAATATAAAGACACACAAAAGGCTCTTGAATCAGTATTTCCAGCATAGGGTACATTTCTATCTTTTTCCCCCCCCCCAGAGACAGGGTTTCTCTGTATTGTTTTGGAGGCTGTCCTGGAACTGGCTCTGTAGATCAGGCTGACCTCAAACTCACAGAGATCCGCCTGCCTCTGCCTCTCCAGTGCTGGGATTAAAAGTGTGCACCACCAACGCCCAGTTGGTGCATTTCTATTTTAATGTGCTCTTTGGAAGTGTGACCGAGACTGTCCCTCATAGGCTCAGATGTTTGAACACTGAGTCCTCAGTTGGTGCATTTCTATTTTAATGTGCTCTTTGGAAGTGTGACCGAGGCTGTCCCTCATAGGCTCAGATGTTTGAACACTGAGTCCACCAACGCCCAGTTGGTGCATTTCTATTTTAATGTGCTCTTTGGAAGTGTGACCGAGACTGTCCCTCAT